CTCAGCTCAGTGTAAAATAAACACTTCTTAACAAAAGATCAAATAGCCTCTGCATACACTGAAGTGTCTTTAGTATTCCAGAACCAGGAGTGAGGTATGTTGGCAGAACTGGGGGTGAGGGAGGCTCCAACAAGGCCTGATAAAGTCAAGATAGAGGGTCAGTGGCACTGGTGAGATCCATGACTGGGGCTCCTAGGGGTACCACAGTACAATAAATACCAATAATAGTAATAGGTCAGCAGGTGAGAGGTGGAAGGGAAGACTGGCATAGCTGGAGGGCTGCCAGTCAGGGCTGAGGTGCATTGGCAAAGTTTTATATGGGGCAGCCAGGGCTGGCATAGCTGGGTTGCTGCAGACTGAGAGGAAGGTGCATAGGGAGGTGCTTTTACAGCACCTGTCCGTGCTGTGCTTGACTAGCCATTGGAGCTGAACTGAATTTGCAGCTGCTCTGCGCCCCGCGGGTGGGTGCCTGCGGATTGAAAGTGGTACAGTGACTCACTGGCTGTACGTTAGCTCACAGAACTGCATCATTTAACCTGCCTGAAAATGCCCTATTGTCTTCCTAACATACACTTTGCATAATGACAGGTTTCAGAGTAGCAGCCGTGTTAGTCTGTATCCGCAAAAAGAACAGGAGTACTTGTGGCACATTTGTTAGTTTGTTAGTCTCTAAGGTGCCACAAGTACTCCTGTTCTTCTAACATACACTGTTGATCTAAGAAGATCAGTGCTCATGATTTACCTGGCTCCCCTTCAGGCTGGCAATGAAACCACTAGACTAGAGAGACTCTAGTCCATGTTTCAGCCTTTCCTTGATTAAACCTTCCCCTCCCACCTCCCAGGCCTTGTTCCCTGCGACAGGTAAAACACACAGTACACACATCCTCATGCCTTCCTCACTGTTTCTCTAGAAACAATCTGTAACCAGCATCAGTCTCTAACAACAAATTATAGCTGAGGTGCCAGCTTCCCTGCTTGTCCAGATCTGGCTAACACCTGGCCTGGAGGAGATGGGTCACTTGGAAGGGTTAGGACTTCTCTCCACAGGATTTCCTCTCAGCACTAACAGTGGGCACTGTTGCTACCAGGGCCACAAATCTATACTGCTGGGTTTGGAAGCACCTGGGGCTGCTGCCTGTTACTTCAGCACTGAGTGGCCATACAGGTCCCAGAATTCAGTTACAGCCAGGAACAAAGGCTGGCTTTCTCCAATGTCTCTCTCACACAGCTTTGTCAGGACCAAGTCTCCTAGTTTAACTTCCACTCAGGTTCACGCTGCATGCTGACGGTGGACGAAGCCAGCCAAAACCTCTTAGATTTGGCCCCTCTCAGCCTCATATCCTTTAAGCGGGGCCACTGAGGTCAAAGATTTACCGCTAAGGTTGCCAGTTTTTTGATCTGCTGACCCCCAAGTAGAGCTGGTCAGAAAAGAGGTTTTTCCCAGGGAAGATAAAAATGAACATGCTGATATAGATATATAAAGGTCAACATTTTCCATGGAAAATTCAACTTTTCAGTAAAAAAAATCAAACACTTTACATTTATGGCCAAAATCTTTTGATTAAAAACTGAAAATTTCAATTCAGAAATGCCACTGCCACAGTGCCTCATGGGCATTGTAGTTTGGATGCCTCACACCCCCATTCCCCTCTATGGGCTGGGCTCCCTGGCCAGATTATGTCTCTCATCATGCACCACATTCTCCCCTCTTACTGAGTTGCCACTGTGTGTCGAGGGAGATGTAATCTGACTGGGGAACCTGTCTCATATTGGGGATATAAGGCAGCCAAATTAAAACTCCCAGGAAGCACAGCAGTGGCATTTCCAAATTGAAAATTTCCAGTTTTCAACTAAAAACCAAAAATTTGCTGATGTTTGGCTGTCCAGCTTTTCGACAAAAAGTCAAAATTTTCCATGAGAAGCAGACACGTAGTGAAAAGTTGCATTTAATTGAAACTTTTTCCATCAAAATACAGTTTTGATGGAAAACTTTCAACCAGCCCTACCCATACAGAAGCTTCTGAGCTCAGTTTATTTCAATGAATAAAGTGGGCCATGCTAACGTGGGCGCTTCCTGTTGAAGAATTTTCCTAGCAAGCTGTATTATTCTCTGCACCAGGGTCAAATTCAGAATATAGAGAAAAAATGGAGCTAACCAGCCATGCCCATTGTCCCTCTGGGCACCACATTTTAGAAAAAATGTGGATAAGTTGGAGAGAGACCAGGGGAGAGCAACAAAAATGATCAAATGTTTAGAAAACCTGACCTTTGAGGAAAGTTTTTAAAAAGGGCATGTTTAGAAGACTGAGGGGGGATCTGATAGCAGCCATCAAATATGTTAAGGGCTGTTTTAAAGAGGATTGCCATCAATTGTTCTCTATGTTCACTGAAGGTTGGACAAAAAGTAGTGGGCTTAATCTGCAACAGGGAGATTTACATTAGATATTAGAAAAAATCTTTCTTTCGATAAGGGCAGTTAAGCTCTGGAACAGGCTTTCAAGGGAGGTTGTGGAATCCCTGTCACTGGAGGTTTTTAATAACAGGCTGGACAAACCCCTGTCAGGGCAGGTCAAGGGTTACTTGGTCCTGCCTCAGTGCAGGGGGCTGGACTTGATGTCTTGAAGTCCTTCCAGCTCTACATTTCATTTATTCTGTGGGCCTTTTGTAGCTCATTGCCTCCCCCCCCCCTCCCCCCTTCAGATATTTACATGGTGAGCTTGCCAGGCCAGGGGCTGTGTCAGTGTGTTTATATACCTAGCACCATGGAGCCGTGTCCTGTACTGGGGCTTTTGAGCACTACCTTCAGACACACAGATAACTACAGAGAGAGGTGGGGTGGGGGAAATATCTTGTATTAGATCAACTTCTGCTGGTGAGAGAGACAAGCTTTCGAGCCACACAAAGCTCTTCCTCAGGTCTGATTTGTGTATAAAACATGCAGCCACAAGAGCAGCCAAGAGTTGGTGATTTAGTTGGGGATTGGTCCTGCTTTGAGCAGGGGGTTGGACTAGATGACCTCCTGAGGTCTCTTCCAACCCTAATATTCTATGATAAGAGGTCTGGTCTGAGGAAAAGCTCTGTGTAAGCTGGAAAGCTTGTCTCTCACCAACAGAGGTAGGTCCAATCAAAGATACTACCTCACCCACCTTGTCTAACTAATATCCTGGGACTAACAGGCTATAACAACACTGCATAGCTAATGATAGTAATAGGGAGGAGGAGAAGGCCCTGCCCACCACAGGAGAACACTTGCTTTTTTCCTTAGCAAACAAGGAGAAAGGAATAATCTTGCTAAGCTCTTAGATACCCAGGGGACAGGTGCCTTAGAAATACCCACAGCAGGGAGCTAAGCAGGCAGAGTGGGCTGAGCTGGTGGCTGAGCTGTGCTGCCTACGTGCTGGAGAAGCCTATGGCAATCCAATAAGGGTGATGTATGCTGCTGCTGCCCTTGAGCCTCTGCACAGTGGAGCTTCCATTACAAACAAACTGGCAATGCCTTCTTGGCAATATAATACCCAGCAACAGTTTAATAGCTACAGGGAGGCTTTCACAGCAAAGAGGAGGGGCCCAGGGCTGTGGGCACCAGGGTGGAATGTCTGCTTGGCAGAGTGCATGCAGAGCAAAGACAGGCAAAGCTCTCCTCGATTGAAAGGCGGCCTCTTGCTCAGGTAGCCCCACTGCGCCACGGCTGTAAGCTCGGTGCTGGGGGACATGCTTATGGCGATCACACCATAGGCATGTCGTGGGGTTTGTGCATTTAAACATCTCAACATTCCCGTTGCACAAGGTCCTCCTCACCCAGAGTGGCCCAGTGACACTGGGGGCAGTACCAACATTCACTGGGCCAAGGGGGGACGCCATAGGGCTAGCAATCCCAAATCAGTCCATCTTTGGGAGATGCCCCCTGTCAAGGGATTAAAGATGGCCCGCGACACTGGCCTGTTGGGTGAGTCTTCTAATGGCTTTCTGACTTGGCAAATTGAGGGTGGTGAGAATAGCTGCTTCAGCGTGGTGAGGGTGAAGCCAGCCAGGTCAGGAAAGTGCTTCAGCTCCTGTGGTGGGAGATGGAGACATTCTCTCATGGCAAAGTGCTCCTTTGCCTGCGGAGCTCTTCCTGTTTCAGGTCCTGTGATAAATGAAGGGAGGGTAGCTTCCTTTAATGGACCCAGCCAGCCAATTAGCTATAAAATCCTTCTTGGTAGCTGTTCTCTACTTGCTTTACCTATAAAAGGTTAAAAAGTCTGACTGCATGCATAGGTATAAGGAAGTGAGTGGGCACCTGACCAAAAGAGCCAATGGGAAGGCTAGAACTTTTTAAAATTGAAACAAGACTCCACTTTTGTCTGTGTGTGGTTGTTCTCCCGGAGAGCCGGGACAGGGCTGGACTATGCTGTAAGAGCTTGCGCTAGGTATGGAAAATCATTAAATCATACCTAGAAACTACTCATTTGAAACCCCAGATATGTAAGTAGATCAGGAAATGTCTAGGAAGATGTGAATAGGTTTATCTCTTTTATTTCTTTATGGCTTGTGGACTTCTCTGTGCTAACCCCCAAATGCTTTTGTTTTGCTTGTAACCATTAAGCTGGACCTCAAGAAAAACATTTTTGATGCTTAATTATTATATTTGCTCTTTTTAAAATCTAGCAATAGCCTAAGTTCCAGATGTATTTTCTTTCTTTTTGTTTTTAATAAAATTTACCTTTTTTAAGAACAGGATTAGGATTTTTGTGTCCTAAGAGGTTTGTGCATATGCTGTTAAATTAGCTGGTGGCAACAGCTGATTTCCTTTGTTTTCTTTCTCAGCAATTCCCGGGGGCGGGGGGGAGAGGCTTGAGGGTACCCCACAGGGAGGAATTCCCAAGTGCGCCTTCCTGGGTCTAAAGGGGTTTTGGGTGGTGGCAGCATCTACCCATCCAAGGTCAGAGAGAAGCTGTAATCTTGGGAGTTTAATACAAGCCTGGAGTGGCCAGTATTAATTTTTCGAATCCTTGCAGGCCCCCACCTCCTGCACTCGAAGTGCCAGAGTGGGAAATCAGCCTTGACAGGTCCCTTCCGTGGTGCTGTGCTGTTATCTGGGACTTCCCAGCCTAGGAGGGGAGCAGCTCTCGGCATCATACATCGGTCTATGGCAGAGGGAGACCCATCCAGGCGCTGGGAGCTGGAGAGACAGGATGTCAAGCGGGCTGAAGCCCGGCTCAGCCATGGGCTGCAGGACTTAGAGGAAGCACGACTCTACCAAATGAATTCAATGATCAAAGAGCAGAGGCAGATCCAGAAGGAGCTACAGAAACTGCAACAAGGTGAGGCTCCTTTCCCATCTCCTCCAAATAAAGCCCCCAGCCCAGCACCAGTAACAAAGAAACCCTCCAAAATTAGACATGCAGTAAGAAGAGATCCTGCTCAGCAATCCAAGCAGTGGGGGAAGTGCAAGTGAAGGAGAGAATCTGTGAGGCAACCTGCAGAAAGGGCCAGTTAAAGAGCCACTGGACTGGGATATTTGGTATTGGTGTCTGTGCTACGTAGCTGTACTGCACTTGCCTGTCTTCCACGCCGGAACTTGCTCGTGTCAATATCAGTTCCATTCATAGGTTAGGTGTATGAGCAGCTCACGCAGCCTTTGCATTTCCACATCATGGCATTTTTGCAGCACTCTAAGCTGCTGGGGGGTGTAAGTGGAAAGGGGAGGCAATGTTTCTGGAAGATCATAGAATATCAGGGCTGGAAGGGACCTCAGGAGGTCATCTAGTCCAACCCCCTGCTCAAAGCTGGACCAATCCCCAGACAGATTTTTACCCCAGTTCCCTAAATGGCCCCCTCAAGGACTGAACTCACAACCTGGGTTTAGCAGGCCAATGCGCAAACCACTGAGCTATCCCTCCCTGATGTGGCTGTCAATTAGGTTTCAGGCATGTCGCCAGACCAAGTGAAACCAGGGGTGTGGGGGGTTGGTGGTAATAGTAAGTTTGCTCTACTTTTATACTTTAGTTAGATTTATTTGGGAAGTTTGTTCATGGCACCATTGGTGCCATACACGGTTGGCATAAGTGTCTGAGTTTAGTTATGAATTATCACTTGATTTCAAAATCACTTCTGTGCCATCATAAATGTTCATGCTACTTTGCAAACATTGGCTAAGCCAGTGCCCAAAGGCACTGTTAGACTGCCCAGGCAAAAAATCAGGCCCAAGAGGGAGAGCACTGGCAATGAGAATGGGGAGGGCTGGGACTGTGTGAACGGCTGGGTTTTAAGGAGGAGAGAGCACCTGGCAGGGGAGAACTAGACAGCTGTGCCAAGTGGCTAGGGGCGGCATGGGAAAAAACATACAGCTGAGGGTGGGAGACGCAGGTGAAAGCCCCAGTGACGAGAGAGGATTGCACACAGCGTGTGGAGGTGGCCAAAGGGAAGGGTGAAATGGATGGTAAGATTTCCAGCCAGCCAGCCTGGCCCTCAGCAATGCCTTGGTAGCTGTGCGTTTCTAGGGGTGGCTTTGTGTGGGCTCTAGGCTCTCCTGTGCTGCTCCCCAGCATTCTCCACGATTAGTGATCAGTGTTTGCTCATGTCCTAGGCAATTCCCAGAAGAAGGCCCATGCGACTCTCGGGGACCTCTCCCAGGAGGTTGGTAAAAGGCCAGCTCTGCCCATGCTCCCCACTTCGTCAGGGCAGCAGCACAGCAAGAGACAAGTGGAGCAACTGAGGTAAGGATGTGTGTAATGTAACCTTTCTCTGCAGCCTGGCAACCCGAGTCACTCGCCACACACAAATGTCCATTAAACCACAGTGCCCAACCAGGCAGGGGCGAGGACTGTACTGAGTGCTGCAGCCATCTCCTGCCCCTGGGTAAAGTAAGCCTCGGGGTGGATGAGGGTGGGTGGCAAGAGGGAGTTAAATGGTTACAAACATGCTGAGCAGCCTATGGCTGGAGATGCTCATCACAAGACGGGGGATAGGGAACAGAGGGTAACTCCCAGACTGGACGAGGTTATCCCAGGCTGAGTGTCTTGTCCTGACGGAGGTTAGCCCCACATGAAACCTTCTGATGGCACTTACTGGCTAACAGAACTGGTCAGAATTTGGAAAAGCAAGTTCATGAAACATGTTGAAATGGTGACATTGTCCCTTTGTCACAGGGTGTGAAACGGAGCCATAGTTTTTTTTGTTGTTGTTTTTTTTAATTTCATGACAGTTTTCAAAAATCTTTGAATTTTTAAAACTTCAAAATTTTGGATTTTTGAAATTTCAAATTTGTCCCCCCCCCCATTGCCTTCGAGTGCAATAAATTTAATAATGTGGGAGGGGCACGGTGGAGGCATAGCTGCTTGTCACTCATTCCTGTAGCGTTTTTCCTTTTTCCACTCACTAATTTCAAAACTTCCCTGATTTTGGCAAGGGACAGGGCAGCAAAGGGCAAACTGAATTCCTGTCAAAGCTTGAGGGTGTTTTGAAGTTACAGAGAGGAAAAACGGAAAAGAGGCAGCAAAAAGTGACAAGAAACAAACCCTTGATATTGTTTAATCTGTCACACTCAGTGACCAGAGAAAGGGAAATGGAGGATTTCATACACCCCAGGTTTTCCACTTTTTGGGGGGGGGTTTCTCATATTTGCCAGTGCAAAAAGTAATGAAGTGAAAAAATGTTTATTTTCTCACTTTCTTTTCATTTTTAACCTTTTCCTCCTTTGTTTCAGTGAAAAAACAGCAGGGAGAGAGTAAAATATACTAAGTGGGCATTTTACAATAATTTTGAAACAAAAAAATGTAGCAAATACCCAAAAATGTTTGTACTTTTTAAATACATTTTTCACTTCAATATTTTTTTCAAACAATGAAAAATGTTACTGTACACAAACTCTCTTTGCAAGAAATGTGTGTGCGTTGTGGATAAGTCCCCATTTTTTGAAAAAAAAAAAAAATTTATTGGAAACATATGGCCTGTCTGGGCTGAAGGGAGCAATGCCCAGCCCATATATATGAGCATCTGGAATCTTGGCTGAAGGAGTACTGTTGGGCTCACCTGGCAGAGCACCTGTTGAAGTCCTGGGAAGGTGGTTTGGCACAAGCCCGTCCACAGCTGAAGGTCCCTCCCCCAGCCTAAGGGGAAGAGCTACTGGATCCAGGACTCTAGTGAATGCCGGGGACAACTAATGAAAAACAAGGATGGGAGTGAGGGTCACAGAATCATAAGCAGGGAGCCAGAGAGGGACAGTGAGCAGAGAACCCTGGACAGCGCCCACTGCTCCTCTAAGGCATCGAGGGAGCCAGCGGATGCAGCCCAGAGGAACTCTGCCCAGAGATGTTACCTGAGAGAGGAACGGAAATAGGCCCCACAGGTGCAGAGCACTTCCTCATCCAACAGCCTCCTCCTGGTGCAATGGACGGCCACCTTGGCCAGCGCCAGGAGGTAGTTGGCGAGGTCTCGTGACTTTATGGGGCCACGGATGGGATGTGCATAGAGCAGGAGGTGCGGGGAGAAGTGCAGCCAGAGCCTGAGGAGAAGGTTCTAGAGGAGCAGGAAAAGGGGCTGCAGCGTGGCGCACTCCAGGTAGACGTGCATCAGGGTCTCCCTCTCACTGCAGAAGGGGCAGGTGTCAGGGAGGGGAGTGACCCACGCCAGGTACACACCTGTGTTTACGGCTCCATGAAGGAGACTCACCTGGCAGAGCAGCTAACCACGATGGGTGGGCAGAGCAGCTGGTCTCTGGGGTCAGGATGGCAAGCAAAGGGAGGTGATTAAGGGAGAGCTGCTGGTTAGTGACTGCACAGGTTTCCACCCCTCTCTCTTCCCTCCTTTATAGAGCACCGAGAAGTATTTTGCCCAAGATGGAGGGACCCAGACAGGCAGCCCAATCACCCTTGCAGCATCAGACATGCGACCATGATGTCCTGGATGATGCGGGGCAGGAGTCCTCTGGAAGGCATGGGTCAACTTCAACACGCACCCAGGCCAAAGCTGCAAGCTCCATCACAGACATCAGCCTGTCAGACCTCAGGCATTCCATCGCTAGGCGGCTGAGCACCTCTGCCAATCTGGCAGAGCAGGAAGAAACCAACAGCCAAGGAGAGCTGGGTACAGGCCCCACAGTGCTGCCCCGTGGACAGACAGAGGCCAGCGATGTGGATGGCAGTGACACCATGCCCAAGCCCACTAGCTGCACAGAGAGAAGGAAGCCTTCCCTTGGCCACGAGAAGCTAAGTTCTGATACAGATCCATATGCCCCCGACAGAAGCCACCTCAGACCCATGCACAGCAGGCCTGGGTTTCTGGAGTTGTATGCTGAAGCCAGGAAGGCCCGGTATATCCGGCACAAGGGCATTCCAGCCTCAGAGAAGGAACTCAGCCTGCAAGAGATCTTTGGGCATGAAAACAGCTTAGACCCCAGCCCCCCAGGAGCAGCACAACCCTGAATGATGGCTCCTTCCCCTAAGGGAGGCTTGTGAGGGTCAGCCACAGGAAAAGGTGGTCTGCCCTGCTGTCTGGAACAGCCAGCTAGCCGGGGTTATAAAGTCGTAGATTGTAAGTCTTAGGGGGCTTATTCCTTCACCCGCTCACTTCCCTGGTCCTTCTCGCATGAACAGAGAGCAACAATACCTGAAGTCCGAAGGTGCAAACAATTCAGTGTTTATTGGGGTGAACTTCCAGAAAGCAATGATTCCAATTTCCTTCCTTAGTGTTCCCCATTCCAGCTCTGACACCACAGAGCCTTGACTGTGTCCCTGTTCCCATTCCCTATTCCCATTCCCCCCCTTAGCAAAACATGATTCCAATTCCCCCCTTTTACTTCCTGATTGACTGCAGACTATGTAGTAAAACTTGAGTTCTGCTTAGCTATACCTTAACCAATCATTTTACTGAAATTTAACTAACCATTCCTAACATATTGTAACAAGATTATCTAACCAATTATCTCCCACCACCTTAATTGGTTTACACCCAACAAAATTAATTATACAGCAGACAGAAACAATCACAGAACCAGACAGAAATTATACAGACAAACAATAGGGAAATGGAGACTACAGTGATAGAACAACAAAGAAATGAGGATTTCACACCCCAACTATTGATAAGTGAGTTCTTGCCAGACAGGATGCTATCAAAATAAGTTTTCTTTAAATCTTCTAGGCTCTTCCCTTTCTCTGGAGGTGATAGATTGGATCACCTTTTTAACAGCCCAAAACTGCTAGTGTGACTGGTGAGGACCGTGACCCTTCGCTTCCCAGTTTATGGTTGCCTCTGCTGCTTAGTTAAAGACCTTAGCCTAAGAACAAGGCCTTAGACTATCATAGTGAGAGAAGGCCTATAAACAGGCAGACTGATTTTGATTCTTGTTTTGTACTTCTATAACTAGCTAAGTGATAAGAATACACCTAAATTCTTAAAGTATAGGCCTTTGCAGACAGGCCTGAATATCTATAGCCACTAAGGCCACTGGGGCATCTAGTCTGACCTTTCTAAGACAGACCAGGGAATTTCGCCCAGCTACTGCCCACAGCTTCTGCTTGAGCTACAGCCTAGCTTTTTGAAAGAGACACCACCTCCTGACGGAAAGATTTCATCTGAGGAAGAATCCACCACAGCCCTTGGGAAGGTGTTTTACCCTCACTGTAAATAAGTTGCCACTTTCTCCCAATCAGAGTTTATCTAGCTTCAACTTCCTGCTCTTGGCTCTCATTTTACCTGTGTCTGCTAGACTGAAGAGCCCTCTTCTCTCAGAAATCATCTCCCCATGGAGGTACTGGTAGCCCATAATCAAGTGGTTTCTTAACCTTCTTCTCTTTGATCAGCTAAAGAGATTGAGCTGAATTTCTCTCACTCACTCACAGGCAGGATTGCCAGACCTCAAATCAGTCTCGCGACTCTTCTCCAAACGCTTTCAGCATCTCAGCATCCTTGTAGAGGTGTGGGCCCCAGAAGGGACACAGTGTCTGGTAATGGTCTCACTGATGCAGTACACACGGTGTATGGCAACCCTGCAATGGCAGAGCAGGGGAGTTCAGACCACCTGTGGATCTCACTCCTCTGGAATGAAGTGGAGCATCTCCTCACTGTTCCCAGTCACCCAAAACCACCCAGAGTATCATCCAAGGTCTGGGGCTCTGCAAGTCCCAGGCCACATTCCATGCCCTCCTGGGTGCAGTGTGCCCCATGTGGGGATGCCCATGCAGTGCTGCTCCTACTGGCCTGGGCCCAGGCACAGGGTTCTGCAGGGACTCTCTCTGCGGACAGCTGCAGGCATAGGCAGCAGTTGGAAGGAGCCTGTGGCCGTGTTTAAAAATCTTTCTGTGGCTGGGAGGTTAAGTGACATGCTGAAGGTTACCCAGAGGATCAGCCCAGCTCTCCTGAACCCCAAAGCTCTAACTACTAGGGAAGGCTTTCCCTCCACCCCTAATGATCTGATTCTGGTGTCCAGAGGCAGGACTTGGGCATGCTCTTCTGATGCAGCCATGTTTGTATCTTGTGACACTCTTTGGGGCAGGGATTGACTGTTTGTGGCCTGTTTGTACATTGCCTAGCCCAATGGGGTCCTTGTCCATGACTAGGGCTTGTAGGTGCTATGATAATACAAATAATAAATGATAGAATATTCCTGCCAGCTGAGAACAAGAGTATGGTACATTCCTTTTCCAATCTGTGCCTTGAGTTTTCGCCTCCCTCGGCCCATCCAAGAGACTCAAAATATTAGGCTGGATGTGAATTTAATTGTCTTATATACAACTTAAGTACACTAAACCAATTAGTGTTGCCTCTTTGGTCCGAGGGGGTTCACAATATCTGGGGCCTTGCAGGGTTGTTCGCGTTAGGCTGAGGACTGGCTGCTACAAGTCAGGGGTATTCCTGGTGTCACAGAGTGGCCACACACTCCAGTGTCCCTGAACACAACAGCAGGCAGTTTCTTTGCTCACAAATCCTCACATCTGCCTCTCCAACGAGCTCTGCGCCCAAAATGCCCTGCGCCTCTGCTGCCTCTCAGGGTCATGCTGACAACTCCTTCTCCAGGCTTTCTGTCCCCAGCACACATCGCCTGCAACAGAGAGCCTAGCCCCTGCATCTGCACCCAGGGAAACCCCTGTTAATCTATCTCTGTTACCTGTGGCCTGGCCACATGGCTCAGTGTCTTGTGCAGGCACCCTCATTGGCTGCGGCTGGTTTTACTACATAGGCAGGCTTGGTTGCTCCATTTGCGGAACATAATGAGGTCTGTGATTGTCTTTGGGTCTGAGACCCACCTGATAGCAGTTGCTAGCATCTTCCAGCATAACAACATCCCTCTGAAAGACCCTGGAACTGGAGCATGGGAACAAGCTGCTGCCTTACTAATGGATGGCCTGAATGTGTGGTGAACTCTGTTCTACTCGGCCTTTATAGTCTGTGATTGTTGCTATGCTAGCTGTGACGAAGTGGGAATGTTGTTAATGTCTTCTCTGAATACTGTGTTTGCCTCAGTTTCCCCCTATGTGTTACTCAAGTATTTAGGTGGTGGGAGAGAGTGTGTGATCATTGCAGCAGCCCAAGAAGGTGTGTGACTGCGACTGATACTCTGTAGCCTGGCAGTTGAGGGCTGGGCCCCTTCCTCTGTAAGGATCAGCCGGAGGTGTTGCTGCAGACCAGGTGACCTGCTGGCCTGGAGAAAAAGACAAAGGAATGAGGAGGGGCAACAGGCATGTCTGGGGGCAGGCAACTGGAACTGGTCAGTTTCCTGTCTGGGACTCAGACTGGGGAATTCAGGACACCAGGTCCGGGATTCCCCCAAGATGGGCTTGGCTGAAAGTCATTGATTTCTGTGCTAACAAGCTCTGCTCTATGCTGTGTGCCTGTCAACTAATAAACCTTCCGTTTTACAACACTGGCTGAGAGTCACTGCTGACTGCAGAGTTAGGGTGCAGGGCCCCTCCAGCTTCCGCAGGAGCCTTGCCCGGGCAGACCCCACTGTGGGCAGTGCACACTGTAATCTCACACCCGTGTAATCTAACACCCATGTCATAACTATAAAGGGAAGGGTAACAGCTCTCCTGTGTACAGTGCTATGGAATCCCTCCTGGCCAGAGACTCCAAATCCTTTTACCTGTAAAGGGTTAAGAAGCTCGGGTAACCTGGCTGACACCTGACCCAAAGGACCAATAAGGGGACAAGATACTTTCAAATCTTGGGGGGGGAAAGGCTTTTGTGTTGTGCTCTTTGTTTAAGGGGTTGTTCGCTCTTGGGACTGAGAGGGACCAGACATCAATCCAGGTTCTCCCCATCTTTCTAAACAAGTCTCTCATATTTCAAACTTGTAAGTAAAAAAAGCCAGGCAAGGCGTCTTAGTTTTACTTTGTTTTCTCAACTTGTAAATGTACCTTTTACTA